ATCAGCAATTCTTGAAGCTCTGCATCTCATTTTTCTTTGTTTTCTGTTTCTAACGTATATAGCTCAAGAAGAATGACTGGGATATTCCTTTGGACTACGATTATCTTGATGGAAAGGTATGCTAACACTTTCAATGTTTATGGATGGAAATAAGTTATCTGCTTTATACATCTCTCATTTCTTAGTTTTCTGTTTCTGGCATTGCAAAAGAATGTGTTCATGGACGTGGATTTAGCCCAGCTAACATACTTTTTTGATGGAGAATGATAATTCTTATTTGATGCAACATCTTTTATTTTTTAAATATGGATATAAATTATCTGAAATGTTTTTGGCATTGCACGAGAATAAGTCATCTGAGGGCATTCCCAATGGGGTATGATTATGCACTGCTTTCATTGTTTTTATCTGCAATGTTTCTATTCATGGAAGGTTTTTAAATTATAGAAATAAATTTCCATCTCAATTGACATGCACATGTGTCTTTTATCACAATTGCATGTCCAAATTATGATGATTTGATTAGACATCGTTTCATCAAACACACCTTTTGATCAACTTCACATTTCTTGATCAAGCACAAGATCACGTCCCATTTCAAATACAACATTGTGCCTTTAACCAAAGGTGTGTTTCAAATGTTTTCAAAGCTAAGTTTTTTTGTTCTGCACAACATTTGTGTCTTTTAAATTCAAAGCTTTTATTGTTGCAGTCAACACTCAACTGCAACTTAGGCTCTCTGCATTTCATCTCTCTTAATTCTGTTTCTGGCGTTACAGGAGAATTTGATGACAGATTTGGAGTACCCTCTGGACATGTTTGATTTGGTATGATAATTTAATTCTTATGTGATTCACAACTTTCATTGTTTTTCCATTTTTGGTGAGGCAAACAGTGTGCTTAAAAGCAAGTCATTTATGCCTAACAAAAACTAATTCTCAGGATGGAATGCCAAGGGAAGAAATTCTGCCTGAGTTACAGAAGATAAAGGATAGCATTGAAGAATTCAAAAGGGAGAGTGATAGGCGCTATGAAGAATTGAAAAGTGAGAATGAAGAGTTGAAAAGGGAGAACAAGAGGCTCAACTCTAGGATTACTACTATAGAGACACTTAAAAACAAATGATAAGGTGACATTTCTCTCTTGGTCTCTATATATCTTTATCTTCTCTTTTCTACTTATGAAAGGTATAGAGTAGTGTGTTCTTTCTCTATATTTCTAAATTATTGGCCTTATTATAGACAGCAGTCTGATTCTTCAAAATTAAATGGACCAATTGTGATGCACCATTTTTAATCCTTTATCTTTCAGAGCAAGGATGCCAAAGAAGTGATAGAGACTGCAGGGGATGATGACTAGAGAGTGAGTGTGGCTGGTTTTACTCGAACCAGCAACACAATCCCAGGAAATATGTAGTGATATTCCCTCCAGACAATTTGTGTTCTTCTTTTCCCGACTAATTTCTGTGGGTTCATAGTTTAAATTCCGTGTAATGTTTAACTTTTTGAGTATGTCTCTATTTTGAGCGGAATATTTTTAGTATGCATATTCTAGTTATCTTCTTATTATGGTGCTCCTCCTCAGAGCATATCTGATGCATGCTTTCACCTGCTTTTGCTCTCTTTTCCATTTTCGGGCATATATAGGTTTTGGATTCGTAGGGCTTGTTTGGTAGGAGCAATGATTATATTTTTGGTCAAATTATAAATATAAGGTAAAATGATTAAACATGTTTGAGAAGTTAGGAATATCTAGTCTTTGAGCTTTCATGATCCTGAGGGACCTATGAGATGAATGCTTTGAGAGAGCTTCATTTTCCAAACACCAAAATTTTCAAGCTTTCTCAATGGATACCATGAAGCCTCTCTCATTTGGCCAAAATCTCACAAGCACAGAGGCTGTGAAAATGGAAGGCATATTTAGTTCCACATTTTAGACCTAATATAGCACAAATCAAGCATGTTGAGGAGATTTCAAGGGGAGGCAAGATGGTCCAAAAGAGAAGGTGTTTATTGATGTTTCCAGAATTAGTCCAAATTGCTGTTGATTTGATGGACTTAAACAATAAAGGAAAACTGAGTATTGATCTCAGTTCCATACCTGGTTCTTCCATACTCATTGTATTTCTTTTATGTACTTTAAACTCCAATTTATGGCAAAGAAGTTTGATGGAGGAGCAACCAAGACCAAGCACAAAATGGCAATTCAGGAATTTGTGGATGCAGCAAAGATACAAAGGACGGACAAAGCTACCACAATTTTAGTTTATATTCGGAGTTGGTTTACATTGGATATAGTACATTCTACCAAAAAAACCACTACATAGCCACAGGCTTGACCCATATGGACCATATCTGCAAGGACATACACAATTCATCTTATCAAAACGCATCTCAGACAATTGATATGGCACAAAAGAGACAATGCGAGAGCAGTTGTATTCATCTCCATGCTGTTTCAGAAATTTTTTCTTTAGTTGATGACTCTTCCTCATCCCATGAGGCGCTGCTTTCATACATCCATGCTGGACCCTAGTCAACTGCTTTCCTAAAATCATAACCCTTGGAATTTACCGATGATCAAAATAAATGAGAGTAAAGTCACTACAAAGAAACTAGAAATCAATGTGAATGGTTCATTCTGTGTAGAGGAAGAAGTAGAAGCAATTGCTGTTGTATTACTTGCTGCAGTTTTGTTGACTCTGCACATCAGTTTTAGCGTGCTAAATAAGGAACCAAAATAATTACAAAGAACCGAAAAAAAAAAGCACAAAGGAAGAAGGAATGAAAAGGAAGAAAAACTTGGAGATATGGTATATAAAAGAATTTGAACTTACCCTCCAACAGTCATATAGAGGCAATCATCATAGCCTGCCCAAAGTACTTAAAAGTTAGCAAATTATACAAGCAAGCAAAAGTTGCACTAAAACAATTGGTAGTGGCAGAAATGAAGCTTTTTAAAGACATATCACAAGATTAATAATTTACATGTCACAAGATTAATAATTTACATATCACCTTGTTCAGGCACTAAGAAGCAGTGATATTAATGTTAATGTGAAGGCAGTGTGCTCAATAGAACGTAATATTTAAATTTATTGAAGTTCATCTATAATCTATTTGCGCTTTTGATTGAACCAGTAACACTTTTGAACTTATTCCGTGTAGTGGGGAGGGGTAGGCATTCATGAGTGATGCATTACTAGTGTAAAAAGTGAAACATCCAAACTTAAAGACTATGTAAAAGAAAAGGTTGGTGTTCAATTTTTCATACTTGGATCCTTGTTGACAATGACTCCCGTTCCCCCAAAACTGCAAGCAACATCATTAGCTCCATTTTGCTTATAGTAACTGTTGAACGCATAAGATGCATGAGAGACTAGATTATCAGGCTCAAAACATGGTTGGCTTGGCTGAATGGCAGAGCAGTCCACATTCCCAGGACCACAAGCCCAATCTAGGGCATTCTGTAAATTCATTTCTGAAGCTTTGCCAGAAGCAATGCACCATTTTGTTCCATTTAAACTGGTAACATTTGCATTTGTTATCATATCAACAGCACCTTCTCTGGTAAAGTCCAGGTTGTAGACACTTGACTGGTCAGGATAAAATAGGCCCCAGTTTCTCTCAGATTCCAATCCAGGCTTCTTGTTCTCATTAAACAAAGAGAATATATACACATCCAGTTCTTCACCAGGCTTAGCAGGAGTTCCAGAGTCATTGATAACATGACGAATCAGATTAGTGTTATAAGTCTGGGCATTGTCTGGAGTAGCAGCCTTCTCTTTGGGTGAACCTTTGGATGGCCAGCCAGTCTCAGTGACCATAATCTTAATTGTTCTGAAGTTGAGAGCCATTAGAGCATAATAAACGGAATCAATCTGAGCATCAAACATATTTGTATAAACCAGACCAGTGTTTGGATCTATAACTTTTGAGGATGGCTGAAATAGAGCGTAGTCCAAAGAGACACTGTTTGGAGAATCTCTATAAGCATAATAAGGATATAAATTGATCATAAGAGGGGACTGGTTCTCAGCAAGGAATTCCAACATTGGCTTCAGGAAAAATGCATGGCTGCTGTTAAATGCCCCTGCAGATGGTGGGAATGATTGAGACAAAACTCCCAGGGAATGGGTACTGGAAACTTTTATCCTTTTATGCAGACCAACTTTCTTTAATGATGTGAGGACATTTTGCATTGCAGGAACAACCAAGGCAGACACATTACCAGGGATCTCAGTGACTTCTGCACCAACAGTAATGTAAGTGATCTTTGTGGCAGGGTAGTAAGGAAGGATGCTATTCTTAAGCCAGGTGTCTACATTTGATTGGAACTGGGAGAATGGTAGCAAGTCAGAATTTGTAACTCCAACCATAAGTTCAACTCCAGTATTTGCAAATGCCTTTAGAACCTGGATATTAGAATCATAGATCCTCACATGCTTAATGTTGTGAAGTTTCACCAATTTTGCTACTTTATCAGGTGTTGGGAGATCATCGGCGTTTCTTCCATAGCAAACCCCAACTTTGCTTCCTCTACATGAATCTGCAAAAGAATTTAGCAATATTTTGTATCCTTGGTTAGGCACTCAAGGAAGTTTACCAAACATATGGACCATTTGAAAACAATGAATGAAAGCACAATAACAAATATCTGGTTACAGTGTAGACCATGATAATTAGATTTCATAGAAGAAAATGCTAGCCTCCAAATTCAAAATCATAATCAAACACCTGACTAAGTTAATAATTAGAACTAAGGACACTCATGCTATGGTAAAAGTTATACAGGTTGTCCATGTTTTTGGACGTTCAATTCAAACAAAGGCTGAAATTTATACCAAGAGTAATGTGCAATCAAATTATTAATCAACTGAAAGATGAATATGGTTTTAAGCATAACAATCTCAAGACGGCTGTCTGCTCTCATCATAAAGCAACAACAAAAAGCTAAAGGTGTCCTCAAGATGATGTACCCTTAAATCGCCTGAGGTGCAAGGGGCAATAAGAACAAGAAGATCAACTGCACATCTTAATGTGGAGAGGTATGGATGATCTCTACATAATGCTGCACAGGTCTTCCTAGTTCTGGAGACACTTAGATCCGCGCAAAGACAACAAACTCTGCCTCACAAGGGTTGAAATACAATTGCATGCTAATTCATTCCATTTTGATCACCATAAGTTTTTAAAAAAGAACACTTATAGTCAGACAAGTGAGCCAGCAAACCATCTTATGGAGTCAAAATATATTAATGAAACCGTCCCCTGCCCACCTGATATATTCTTAAATGAAAACATGGTTTAAGTTTTTTTTTTTTTTTTTTTAAAGCTAGGATCGAAATAATACACCCAAAAAGCATATGATCGGCATCCAAAGCCAAGCAGATACAGAGAAGTGAAATGGGCATGAAACCGTAGAATTAACAAAAGGGAGTTACTGGTTTTAGAGAGGAAAATACAGACCCAAGAGCTGAAAAATATGTTGGAAAAGAAATGTCGATCAGAAGCAGAGATTAGAGATGGAAAATGCTGGAACACTGTGGAGAGAAAAAAAAAAAGTGATACAGAGAAGAAAGGCAGTACATTTGGAGAAAATAAAACATACCCAGAAGCAGAAACAACAGGGAAATCGCAAATAGGAGCTTGTATCTTCCCCCCATTGCCATCCAAAGCCAGAATCTCCTTTCTTCTTCTTCTCCTTCCCTAGAGTCCTACTTTACTCTTTTTCCAGGTTTCTTTATCTGAGAACCCCAAGCCTGCAACGTTCTTGTTCTGGGGAGTAACGTCTTTTCTTATGTGCGAAGCTGCAAGAGCCACAAGCTTGTCTCGGAGCTCGAAAGGGCGAGAATGAGAGAGAGCACTTGAGCTGGCCTGGCTGGCTCAGTGTATGTTTTGTGTCAGGGAGTGAAACAGTGGTGGGACCCATTACAGAATTACGTAACTTTATGGTTAAAGCATGTTTGGATTAATTTCTCATAATTTTAGTTTTTTCACATTATTTATCATATGTTTCATTTGGTATGTACTTATTGCATTAGGGTTGTCTTGATTAAAATACATGTTAACAATGTAATAAATATATTTTTTATAATTAATTTATAT